ACCAGGATACTTATATACAATGGATATGACATATCCAGGTTCCCACATAAGAATGGTAAAATCACCAAAAAATGAATTCATGTACGTGTATATATCATTGTATGCCTTTATAAGGGAGTTTGATCATTGTAGACCCATTGTTATTGTGGATGGAAGTCACCTAAAATCTTACTACACCGGGACATTCANCTGAGAGGTGAACCGGCTGATTCATACAAAAAATTACCAGGATACTTATATACAATGGATATGACATATCCAGGTTCCCACATAAGAATGGTAAAATCACCAAAAAATGAATTCATGTACGTGTATATATCATTGTATGCCTTTATAAGGGAGTTTGATCATTGTAGACCCATTGTTATTGTGGATGGAAGTCACCTAAAATCTTACTACACCGGGACATTCATTTCGGCAAGCACGTTGGATGGTGCAGGTGAGTATCTGAATTATAATACAATCTGTTAATATTTTTAAATATTGAAATGCATGTTTTAAAAATAATTATATTCAATTGTATTTACAGGTCATATATTGCCACTAGCATATGGTGTTATTGATTCAGAGAACGATGTTGCTTGGACGTGGTTCTTTAAGCAATTCAAGATAGCATACGGTGAAAGGGAAAACATGTGCATCATTACAGATAAAAATGAGAGTATCATTAAATCTGTATCGAGAGTGTATCCATATGTACCGCATTTTGCTTGTATATGGCATCTATGAAACAACGTATATAAGAAATTCAAAAAGAGCCATGCCAAGTTGAGCTAGATATACTTCTCGATGGCAAAAGCATACACACAAGCTGAATTTGACAGTCTGATGGAGAAGGTGGAGAAGGTAGATATTAGAGTGAAAGAATACTTAGAGTTAGCTGGTTACGAAAATTGGATTAGGTTGTATGCACCTGTTAACAGGGGATGGAAAATGACGTCAAATATTGCTGAGTCAATCAATGTCTCACTAGTTTCAGCAAGGAAATTGCCAATATACGACTTCCTCAAAGAAGTTAGGAAGATGTTTGGACGTTGGAATTGTAGTAACCGCAAAGAAGCTACACAGACATACACGACGATTGGAAAAAAATACCAGGAGATGCTGACTTTGAATGAGGCAATGTCTACACGTATGACTGTAAGTTATATTTTAATGTCATTGTTGTATATAGCTTAATTGTTACTGAATTAATGGCATGAATACAACTGAATACAATGATTTTTTAAGTAGAACTACCATTAATACATATGAATACAACTATATTCAAACTCATAAAAGATATATTTATCCGTAGATCTGATATGAATACAACTGAATATAACTAAAAGTATGCTGCAAAAACTATTGGAATACATCAGAATATAACTAACAAAGATGTATTATATGTAATTTTAATATGTATTGTCAATACGTATGATTCTAATGCTTTTGTTAGCATCCTTTTGCCTAAAGTACAGCAGAATTCGGATAAGTTCTGCACTAATTACATATGGTATTCTGCTGGTCTAAATATTTGATATATTCATCTATATGCAAAAATTTCAGTTGTATGTAACTTATTAATTCAGCATTATACATTTGGTAATTCAGATATATGTGCTCAAAATTTATATTTCTACTTTTAAATGTAGGTGGTACCATCAACTGAATACTTACATACGGTTAACGATGGTGGGAGGAATTACACAGTCTGCCTATTAGAGAGAAAATGTGTTTGTGGGAGGTTCCAATTTGATGAATTGCCATGCCCACATGCTTGGGCTGTATTGAAGAGCAAGTTTCTAATGCCAAAAGAATATTGCTCTAACTATTACAAACCAAATACAATTGTAATGACATATGATTTGCCAGTGTACCCGCTACCGGACAGAAATGACTGGAATATACCAGAACATGTTGTAGAGGAGGTTGTACTACCACCCAAATGGAAAAGACCTTCTGGAAGGCCAAAGAAGAAGCGCGATAAAACTTTAAGTGAATTGTTGCAGTCAAAAAATCAACATTCATGTAGCATATATGGGGGAGGACATAACAAGCGAACGTGTAGAAATGCTCCACGTAATAAATAGTTAACACTCTAACATGTATTAGTGCTTCAACGATTTGTCAATACTTATGTTAACATTGTCAAGTAATAAATTCTCATTGTCAAGTAATATATTCTGAAATGACTTTCGTGAATAGTTTCTGAATACATATAGTTGAAATATTTTTATACAGATAAATACATATGCACTATATAGTTGAGTATAACTGAGTATAGATGAATACTAAAAAATACAACTGGATACAGCTGAAGTATTTTTATGAATAATACAGTTGAGTAGCACTGAATGTAAATGAATACACCAAAATACAACTGAATACAGCTGAATAATACACTTAAATACAACTAACTACTGCTGAATAAAACAAGCTGAATACAACTGATTACGTAAAACCTGTTTAATACATTTGAAATTGTGTTCTTTAATATGTGTTATCTGAACTTGGAAGATACAGCTGAATGGATGTTGCTGAATACAACTGAATACAACTGAATTTGACAGTTAAATACGACTGAATACAACTGAATCCAGAAAAAAATACATCTAAATTCTTTTATATAACCTACCATCAGCATACATAAAGTTTCTGACTTTGACATTAACATGTTCATTAACTAAAATGTGTTCAAGCAAAGTTGCTTGGTATTAACATATACTTGAATCCTGTAAGATAAATATGTATCCAAACTGAAGAATAAGCATGAATACTTATGAATAAACCAGTGAAACAGTGATTGAAAAGTTACAATTGTCATACACTAACATTGTTGATAAAGTGATAAGTTTTTCAAACTAAATACCATCTACACCAAAAACTACTCAAAATAGTATTCATCTTGAAACTACACTCCAAAACTACAATAACCTAAAGCTACTCTAACACTATCTGCATATTTGAATCTGACTCCGTGATTTGTCTAGCAATCTTTGAAGGTGATTCATTCTCACTTATGGCATCAACGTCTATCTTTCGCATAGCATAGTCCCAGAGGAGATCACCATATCTTTGACGAAGTAGAGAGGAATCAAATGTTATTTGTGGAATCTCTCCAAGAGTGCTCAGAAACTCTGCGTATGCTGCAACATGCACCCCACAATCACTAAAAAATAATTGATTGAAACAATTAAAAATAATTCATACAATTAGATTTGTATATAACATACAATAATGATGCTTGAATACTTACATGCTACCAGCTTTCTGTTGAGGCAGATCTGAAATGAAAAAAACTTCAAAGGGATCATTATGTGACTTGTCAGTATATGCTGAGTAAGTAGACCAATCTATGCATTGACTATCTCTGTAAAAGCCACTGATTGATAGATATAGAGGTACAAGCTTAGCTATNAGTATTCATCTTGAAACTACACTCCAAAACTACAATAACCTAAAGCTACTCTAACACTATCTGCATATTTGAATCTGACTCCGTGATTTGTCTAGCAATCTTTGAAGGTGATTCATTCTCACTTATGGCATCAACGTCTATCTTTCGCATAGCATAGTCCCAGAGGAGATNACATTTGCATGCAATTTGTAGCCTCTTATGTACTCACATACCACATCCTCTTCTTTGGCTACATTAGCATTACTATCTGTATCAGCATACATGTTGAATATTTCAGTGATTCTTGTCTTGAATATACAATCAACAGTTGTATACTTGAAGTTGCTTGTTTGATTGTACTTTCCCTTTTTTCTCAAATAGTAGAATATGACGTCAATATGCTATACACAAAGTTAAGTACATGGTGTGAGTCCAATTAATCAAACTATTAAAGAATATAGCTGAATACAGAGAAATACATATGAAAAATATAGTTGAATACAATAGATTGTATGTGAATAAAACTGTTGACTACAACTGACTACAACTTACTACATCTGATTAAAACAATTGAAAACAACTGAATATAGCTGAATACAGCTGAATAATATTGAATAATACAATTGACTACTTACGATTTAAAGACTTCAATATGACTGTCTACAGTTGAATACAGAGAAATGCAGTTGAATACAGCTGACTATAGCTGAATAAAACATTTGAATTCAACTGAATATAGTTAAATACATCTGAATACATGAGTTGAATAAAGCGGAATACAAATGCAGTTGAATACATCTGACTACAGCTGATTAAAACAGTTGAATTTAATTGAAATTAGCTGAATACAGCTGAATAAAGATGTTGAATAAAGCTGAATATAACAATTGAATACAGTTAACTATAGCTGATTAATACATTTCAGTTCAACTGACTATAACTGAATACATCTGAATACACCTAAATACAACTGAATGCAGAAGTTGAATAAAGGTGAATATAGCAATTAAATTCAGCTGACTATAGCTGATTAATACAGTTCAATTCAACTGACTATAACTAGAATACAGTTGAATATAGCTTAATACAGCTGAATGCAGATGAATAATACAGCTGAATATAGCTGAATAAAACAACATGTTGTTATTCAAAGAAAATTAGTCAGTTAGGGGAAAAAACTTACGTTGTCATCCCATAGCTTCCCGTCAAACAATAGAAGGTAAAATCAATTTTTTGAATTAACTTGATCAACTCCAAAATCCAATGGTATATGAAGTGTTGACTTGTTCTTCTTGTAATGGTCTTCCAAATTACTTCTACAAGTATGGTATAAAAAATATTATATACATTTTTAAAAATATAAAAACTTAATACACATACCGGGGGGAAAACTCACCTCTGATCATGTCTAGCGAGAAGACCATCACGAACCCATTTGTCATATTCCTGAATGATTAACATAGGATGTGGCCCCGTTATTGAATCATCCTGAAAGGGGTGTCTTTTTTCAAAAATGGGGGTCAACTTTACTGAGGTACTTGTTGTTCATTGAATTCGTGATTAGAGACTTTTAAATTTAAAAACCATGAGGAAAGCTGAATCTTGACTTTATAAAAATACTAACCTACGGAGTCGAAGTTAGACTCATAAGGCGAAAAGTACCATCTACTTGGTCGCCGATTCCCATGAGATGGTATTGGGGTTGATTCAGCTTTTTTTGCATTGTTGTGAATCACAATTCTAGTTTCTAGAATTTGACTGGGAAGAAACTTGTCGTCCAGCTCAAATTGAGATACATAGAATTCTGTAGATACACCCTCTTGACCAGTAGATGGTATGTTGGACGGCACCTCTGATGTAGTTTTCCCCTCCCCTCTATACTCCAAACATTGATCATTAAGCACTTGTTTCTGTTAGGTGTATGTATCATTGTTAGTGTATTAACTTAATGTTACAATACAGTTAAATACATATAAGTGTA